AGATTTGAGCAGTGAGTCAACTTCAATCAGAAAATGTCGAAAAGTAGGGACTGAAGCCATGCATTTTTGCTTGTGTATATAAAGATCTCCAAACAAGATAAAAAAGTTGAAGATAAATACTTTAGATTTATGTGAAGATTCTGAGTAATAACAAATAATTTCTTTTAAACTAAAAGATTGTGCAAAGGTGGGAGGGTTGTTTAAATAACGATAGAGATCAAACCAAAATTTCTGGACAAATTCACACATACAAAATAAATGTATTAAAGTTAGACATGATGGGCTTGCACTTGTCAGATTCTACGTGATGACGTCATTGTTATGCAAATTAGTGAGTGACGTAATCTGGCAACATTTAGCTACTTTTCGGGCAGGCTTTAGCTACTTGTCATTGGAAATAGTTGGCAACACTGTGTGTGTGTGTGCATGTTTGTGTGTGTGAGTGAGAGAGTGAGTGAACAGGGGTAATATCCTCAGGATGAGTCAGCAGACTGTGTACGTCCTTCATAATAGTGAGGGAGGGCTATAAATAACAAAGCGCTTCGTCACGACTCAATCAAAAATCAAGGATTATAGATGATGCTGAAACATGGAAACATCCTGTTAGAAGCTCAACAGAATCTTAAAGAGATAGTTAGTTCATCCAAGTAAAGACTCTGCCATCATTTATTTTTCCTCTACTTCTTTCTTACGTTGAACATAAAAGAAGATATGTTGAAGAATGTCATAAACTGGTAGCTAATAGCTAGTTTTGCATCCACCTATTTTATATGTGCTTTGGAATATCGCACAAGAAAATAAAAACCTTAAGATGTGCATACATTTAGGACATGTGCATGTTGACTTCCATATTTGAATGTCAATGGATTTGAATGTCAATGGCTATTGGTTTCCAAATTCTTCAAAATATCTACTATAATGTACCTGTTCCTGTTTGCTGTCACTACTTACTTCTATTTTTTTAAATATATATATTATCTGTTTTTTGACCTGTCTCTGTAATTCTGTTGCACTGTAAGCTGTCACAAACACAAATTCTTTGTATGTGTGAACATACCTGGTAATTAAGCTCTTTCTGATTCTTATCTATATTTATTATTATTTTTATTATACTTATAGGTTTAATATTTAGCAGCCAGGTGAATTGGGTAGGCTAAATTGTCCGTAGTGTATGTGAATGAGGGTGTATGGATGTTTCCCAGTGATGGGCTGCGTAAAACATGCTGGATGAGTTTGCGGTTCATTCTGCTGTGGTGACCCCTGATTAATAAAGGGAATAAGCCGAAAAGAATATGAATGAATGAATTTAGCAGCCATTTATTAAGTTACTACTATTATTATTACAGTTATCATTAAATTATTTTATCATCATCAATTTCAAAACACTTCTGCTGATTTTTTATTTTATTTTCTATGGAGATTGGTGTGAGCATCAGTTAAAATGTACAAAATTAATTTATATATAGGGCAGCACGATTGCGCAGTGGGTAGTACAGTCGCCTCACAGCAAGAAGGTCGCTGGTTCGAGTTCAAGTTGGGTCAGTTGGCATTTCTTTGTGGAGTTTGCATGTTCTCCCTGTGTTGGTGTGGGTTTCCTCTGGGTGATTCGGTTTCCCCCACAGTCCAAAAACATGTGATGGAGGTGAATTGAATGAGCTAAATTGTCTGTAGTGTTTGTGTGTGAATGAGTGTGTATGGATGTTTCCCAGTGATAGGTTGCAGCTGAAAGGGCATCCGCTGTGTAAAACGTGCTGGATAATTTGGTGGTTCATTCCGCTGTGGCGACCCCTGATTAATAAAGGGTCTAAGCCGAAAAGAATATGAATGAATGAATAAATGAAATATGCACTGCTTAAAAATATAGGGAACACTTAAACAGCTCAATGTAACACCAGGTGTTTCCTTTACTTTTAATTTTTGAGCAGTATAGTTTTTTGGTGCTTGACAACGTATTCTCATCTTTGACCCTTGAATGGGAAATTCTAAATAAATTTTATTTAAATATATATGTAATGATATAAATGTCTACTGAGGGTGTCACGGTGGCTCAGTGGGTAGTGACCTCACAGCAAGAAGGTCGCTGGTTTGAGTCCCATCTGTACTAGTTAGCATTTCTATGTGGAGTTTGCATGTTCTCTTTGTATGGGTTTCCTCCAAGTGTTCCGGTTTCCCCCACAGTCCAAAGACATGTGCTTTAGGTGAAATTGATGAACAAAAAAATGTATGTGTGTGAATGTGAGAGTGAATGGATGTTTCCTAGTACTGGGTTGCAGCTGGAAAGGCATCCACTAAGTAAAACATATGCTGGAATAGTTTACGGTTCATTCCCCTGTGGCGATCCCTCATAAATAAGAGACTAAGCCGAAGGAAAATGAATGAATGTCTTTACTGCCACTTCTAATCAATGTATGCATTCTTGCAGAATTCAAGTGGGCCTTTTTAAAAAATAAACCCGACTGACCTTACATTTATGGTAAGGATACAAAACTATTATGCATAAATACTATCTTTTAGATCATTTTTGAGGACGTCATAAAACAACCCGGACTCTTATCGCAGCTTCTGTGTTTATGTATTTACTGTAAACATGCCTGTATAAAGATTATATCTGATAGCTCTTCTGATCTGTACTTTTTTGTGTGTGTGTGTTCCCAGCTAAGGTCAGCTCTTCTGTCATGTTTGTTATGTGTAAATTGTAATATTCTAGCATAAGCTGCTGTTTCCAATGTGTGCCAGGCAACTTCATAAACAAGTGCATAACCTTCAGTTTTATAATCTGCTTAATGAAGGCCCCCCGGAGACCTTAGAGGTGTGTTTGAACGCTTTTAGCTGCCAACAAAGACTATTTTGTTCACATGTAAAGCATGGGGACAATCACATGACACAAATGCATTTATACATTACACATGTATAACTGAGATGCAACGAATATATGATGAGCAGGACTAATATTGATTACACAGGCTTTTTCAATGGAAACCTTTAGACGTGCAGCTTAGAACTTTTCAAAGAGAGGGCTCGCCACATTTGAAGTGTTAAAACATTGTTGGTTGTGTCTACAAACAACACATTGATGGGTGTTTCTTCCATTGTAGGCCAAATAAGTTGATTATTATTAATATTATTGTTACTGAATATGTCATTAATATATACAACCCTTCCAAATAAGGCCAAGCTTTCCATCCTAGGGCAATTTGTAGAGTTGTAAATGAGCATGTGAAACCATTTCTGGAGATTTTTTTACACTTACCTATAAGCTGGATACATTTTACATCAGAGAACAAGTTGGACATTAAGCATTCAGTGGAACTTTTAATATTTGCAGGTTTAGTTATTTCTTTTGGTTTTTCACAAACTTCCACCACAACACATTTGCTTCGAATAACGTATTGGAAGTTTTGCACTTGTTTACAGCATATAATCTCAATGAAGAGCTTGATTTTAGGCAAAAATGAAAAAATAATCCTGGTGAATATGACTTCGCTGTCACTTAATATATTTTTATATTTTTTTATAATTTATTGTGTCATTTCCAAATCAGTTCAAATATTCATTCATTCATTTTCCTTTGGCTTAGTCCCTTTATTTATCAGGGGTTGCCACAGTGGAATGAACCGCCAACTTATCCAGCATATGTTAAACAGTAATTGGGGAAAAAAGTAAATGAGGTGCAAATAATTCTGACTTCAACTGTATATAAACAAAACTATACAAAGCAATTTTGTTGCATACATATTTAGATGCATGTACTGTAATGTGTATGTAATATAATTTATATCTTAATATTAATAAACAGTTACTTAAATAGATGCATGCCTGTGTGCACTTATATATGCATAATAAATATACACATACACACACTTAAATTATGTCAAATTTATCGTCTAATTTGGATGTGATTAATTGTGATTAATTTTAGCTCAGCACTAATAATACAATAAAAATCAAAAAGGAAAAACTGCTCAAACACACTCGTGTCACACTTTTGTTTATTCACACTCGAGTGTCATTTGAAGCATAGTATTTTGCTTGAAATAACAAAAAAATGTAGTAATCAGTAGTTTAAAGAATGAATACAAAATAGAAATTGCATTTGTTCAAACACACCTGGTATATTCTAATGTACATAATTCATTGCATAAAATAAAAAAGTTTTCATGTGTGTGTATTAATTTTTAGCACATCCAGAGAAACTGAAAATGTTCTTGTGGCGGATTTAGATAGATGATAGATGGATGGATGGATACTATAGACAGACAGACAGACAGACAGATGGTTGATAGATAGATAGATAGATAGATAGATAGATAGATAGATAGATAGATAGATAGATAGATAGATAGATAGATAGATAGATAGATAGATAGATAGATAGATAGATAGATATATGATGGATGGATGGATGGATGGATGGATGGATGGATGGATGGATGGATACTATAGACAGACAGACAGATGATAGATAGATAGATAGATAGATAGATAGATAGATAGATAGATAGATAGATAGATAGATAGATAGATAGATGGATGGATGGATGGATGGATGGATGGATGGATGGATGGATGGATGGACTGTAGATTTATGGATGGATGGATGGATGGATGGATGGATGGATAGCTAGCTAGATAGATAGATAGACAGACAGACAGACGGATAAATGGATGCTTTAGATAGATAGATAGATAGATAGATAGATAGATAGATAGATAGATAGATAGATAGATAGATAGATAGATAGATAGATAGATAGATAGATGGATGGATGGATGGATGGATGGATGGATGGATGGATGGATGGATGGATGGATGGATGGCGGACAGACAGACAGACAGACGGATAAATGGATGCGATAGATAGATAGATAGATAGATAGATAGATAGATAGATAGATAGATAGATAGATAGATAGATAGATAGATAGATAGATAGATAGATAGATAGATAGATAGATAGATAGATAGATAGATAGATAGACGGACAGGCAGATAGACAGATCAACAGTTCACCTACAAGAGTGCTTTTGCAACTTGCTTGGTTCAATATTCTGTCATAATAGCATAGCCTGCGTTTTGTAAAGTTAACTGTCACACTAAAGTTTAAGTCTAAGTTGAAAGGGGGAAATGAAAGACCACCACGGACTGCCAGAAACTCAGGAGACATATCTATCTTCAAGACCTCCTGTCCGGGTGGGCGGGGCCGAGGGGGTCCCGTTCCGTTCGTCCCGCCCGCGTTACCATAACAACAGGTTGATCAGCGGCAATCTGAGCCGTGATGGGAGGAGCGGCGGTCCAGGTGCTGCAGCCGAGCGTGCGCGCAGACAGAAGCTCATCAGCGGAGAAGAAGAAGAAACAGAGGAAAGACTACCATCTGTGGGGCATCGCGATCACAGCCGGGTTATTGTTTTGATTTATCTCGATATCTCCTCACTAAGAGTCTACCCATCTCATGGGCTTGGAAAAAACGTTACTCCGCTTCATCTGAGAGGGAGAGAGAGAAAGAGAGAGAATAACGCGAAGAATGTTCAAGAAGAGTAAGAGTAAAGTTCTAGTGGATGAAGCGTCGGAGGAGGACGAGGTGTCGTGGCATAATGAGCACGCGGGGAAGGTGAGCTGAGGTGTTGTAGTTTCCCCTGGGCTTTAAACTTGAGGGATCAAATAGGCTTGAGTCTCATAGTTTGTCTGTGTCATTGAGGAAAAGTTGGTTTTTACCGCACATTGGGACTTTCTCCTCAATAATATACTTTTATAAAAGTATTATTTTCAAGTCCTAACGTAAATAGACAAATCATATTAGCAGCCAATGACTATCAAATGAATGATACACCACTGTTTACAGTCATTTAAATAGTGCTAATGTTGTTTTGAAGTCATGCTTAGATGCGATTTCAAAACGAATATTTGTGGTAACGTCAAACAATATAAGGTCAAAAGTATTCAAAAATGAACGAACGTGTTCATATAAAACCAACTTTATCTCAGTATCTGTGTCATATTTCTACCCGCACAATAACTGGATTGTTTACAAAGCGGATGCGCCCCCGAGTGAGTCATAAAGTAAGATTATGAGAGCGAAACAATAATTGTTGCATACTTGTTTTTTTTTTTTGAAAATCCTCTTATTTAACTCAGTTATTAATGTGTACGCCTACCTTTCACACATCTATGATTTAATGCACTTACATATGAATCCCTCCGCCTACTTTTTTAAATCGCTCTTCTACGGAAATATAAAGTTTAATCATGATTTTATTATTGTATATAAGCGTTATTACAGTGTTTTTTCTGTTCATACATTACCATTTGTATAACTGCATTTTTACTACAATACCATGACAATTTTGTGGTTTTCATAAGTCACCCATATAACCCTACAATAACAGAGTATTCTGCTAACGTTCAAAGATATATTGTTTTTGTGTTAATCTAAAGGGATATTTCATCCAAAAATGAAAATGTACTCCATATTTGCTAAACCTCAAGTGGTTGCAAGTGGTTTTATGGGTTTCTTGAACACACACAAACACACAAATATGTTCTGAAGAAACCTGAAAACCTGTAACCGTTGACTTCCATAGTAGGAGATACAAATACTATGGAAGTCAATAGTATTTCAAAAGTCAACAGTTTTCAGCTTTCTTCAAAATACCTTCTTTTGCAGTCAACGGAAGGAAGAAAGTCAAACAGGTTTGAAGCAAATGAATGGAGGGTAAATGATGACAGAATTTTCAGTCTTGAGTAAACTATCCCTTTAAAGAAAAACTAAAAGAGAACAATACAGAAATGTTTACTAACCTACAGAAAACCTACTCTTTACACAAAGAAAACTTTCCTTGCCAGCCTACAGATAAATTGATAGCAGGATTTTTTTTATTGTATATTTATAAAAAAAACTAAACAAAAAAAGAGCATGAATCATATGGATAATAAAAATATAGGGAAATATTAGTATTCAAGTATGCAACGATGCAGGTATAGTAAAAAGTATTTGCAGAATGTGAGTATGAAAGAATGACATGTACATACAAATAAGAGGTTAAAAGAACGGAGAAAGCAAGACTGTAATGAAATAACTGATCGCATGCTTGCTAATTATATTTCAGATATTTAAATGTTGTTTCCTTTGGAATAGGATTGCCATATTTGGCTTATCGCATTATTTAAAATATATCGCATAATTAATTGCTCATTTGTATTGACTTATGTCGGGATGTCCAAACTCGGCCCTGGAGGGTCGGTGTCCTGCATCCAAAATCGTCAACTACTCTAGGTATTGCATTTAAACTTAAATTTACTGCTAGTCCATTTTAAAAGCACAGCCTTGGAGAGTTTAGCTCCAACCCTAATCAAACACACCTGAACCAGCTAATCAAGCTCTTATGCTTCTGTTATTCTGTAGTACGGCGCTGCGAAAAGGGGCGGGATGAAACAAGATGATTAGACACTAAAAAAGCAAGTGATTGGTCCATGTTTTAAATTTCTGTCCAGAGAGGTCATGTTTTGATCCTCGATTGTTTCATGCTATCATGTAATGCGATTTCGCAGGTCAGAGTTCACCAAGCTTGAACTTTCCAACGCAGCGAACTGTGAAACTTGCCGCACAAACACAAACTTTCTGTTCTAACGCATTTGCGTGCATATGAATGGAAGTCTATGGGAAGAAAAGTGCAGTGTGACTGTAGCTTCACTAGATATACTAGAAACTTCCTGCAGGTATGTTAAAGCAAGTTAGAGCTAAACTCAGCCGGACACCGGCCCTCGAAAAGCTTGGAAACCTCTGACTAACGTCATCAGACAAACTTTCAAAATAAGCTTTGACCACTAGAATTCATCAATATGGATATGGAGTGTATTAAGAAAGGATCCGCTTGTTAAGTGGTGACGTATGTACTACTGTTTCCAGGTCCAAGCCACCATTCATTTGAGTGGAGAAATCATTCGTTTATGATCACGTTTTATTCCTATCACACATTAAAGTTAATTTTATATAAAATCTGGTTACACAACAATCTCTGGGCTTGCTGCATAACAAATAACAAAAATTTAACAATTTATAAAAAAAATTAATCACTTTCTGGCCATCGGATATTAGGCATGGACATATATATATATTGCGATCGTGATTTTCAAAAGTATTAAATCGCTTTGCAACGTTTATTATTACCATTTCATGAGTCTCCCCATTCAGTTGAATAAAGCGATTGGACCAGGAAGCCGCTTTGCGTGATGTCACACTTAACAAGCGGATACTTGTTTACTGGTATTAATATGAGGTTAAAACAGTTTAAAGAGTGAGAGTGTAGTCCAAAAACCCTGTTTACTAGCTTTTTGGGTCATATTTTGTTCATTTATATATCATTAACTAGATTGCCATTCCCAGATTAGGCCACATTTATGTTTTTTTATTTTTAATTAAAGATATAGTTAACCCAAAACATGCTATTTGGTGAGTTATAAAAGTCAAAACAGTTAAAAAAAAAAAACTTAACCCAGACTTGCGTTCTGTGAATGAACGTCGCCTCATGGTTCCATCCCAAAGAGGGAAGAAATCACTTTCCCGAACTCTCGCATTCAATCTGCCCAGTTGGTGGAATGAACTCCCTAACTGCATCAGAACAGCAGAGTCACTCGCTGTATTCAAGAAACGACTAAAAACTCAACTGTTTAGTCTCCACTTTCCTTACTAATCTGCAATTGCCTCTCTGGCTCCGCTGCTAACTGTATTACAGAAAAAAAAATTAAATAAAATTACTAATGTTTTACTTCTTACATTTTACATACCGGAAACTTACCTACAGCACTTATTCATTGTTGCACTTATTCATTCATTATTGTAAGTCGCTTTGGATAAAAGCGTCTGCTAAATGGCTAAATATATGTAAATGTAACCCTTGTGCATTATTTAAATTGACTACCCTTTTATTATGTTGGTGGCTGTTTTCCTCTATTGACTTCTATTATAATAACAAAATTGACCTCATCCCATTCCCACCAGGGACAATCACCAACAATCAAGAAAGCATGATTATACAGTGTCATGACTTTGTAATCAATAAATGTCATTATAACAGAAGTCAATGAGCCGAAAACAGATTTCTGACAGATCTGTGAAACTGAACTCTGAGAACCATTTCTCGAGCATGTGAATTAATGGCAGTAATAAAGTAAATAATGTTCAGTTTCTAATCCATTGCTGTTCCTTTTGTATTTGCTTATTATGTCATCAGTTATTATCCAGTTGTCCACTATCAAATGAATAGGACAGTCTCAAAATGATATTATTGGAGAGTAAGAGTCTATACATGTCGTTCCTGAGAAGTGAACACATGGCATATTATTATTATATACATGTCATTATATTGTATACTTCTTCATGTTTTCCTGTCCTGTCTGAGCCAGTTGTGCAATATGGATGATGATTGTGATTTTTTTTTAAATAGATAAGATCATCAATGTACCTTAATTAAATGTGGCTCTGCTCTGGCTGGGTTTCAATACAGATTCATGGCATTCGCCGTCATCCTCCCCTTCAGATCTAATGTTCTGTCAGCTGTTAGACTGCAGGAGTCTGATAAGGTCCCTACAGCGTAACAGTAGGAGACGGTTGCAGATAAGCTTTCTTTCTCTCCCACTCACACACACTTTTTTTGCATGCATTTCAGAAGCTTACACTGAAATGTTAAAGATTCGTACTGTTCTGTCCCAGTGCGACATTAGATGGCCTTGACTAGGCCACGGTCAAATTCCTCCCAAGAGACACATGTTTTTTTAAGACGCCAAAGAGGTCAGTCAAAAGCTCTGCTGTTGTCGTCTGATAGGATGAAAACTAACCTAGCTGCTAGACCAAACTTTCTGAACCAAACTTTCAAATTCACATACTTATTGAAAGTTGCACTTTGATAGAAGACCAGCAACTTTAACCATAGTATTCTCTGAACTACTATAAATTTTATATAAAATCTGGTTACACAACAATCTCTGGGCTTGCTGCATAACAAATAACAAAAATTTAACAATTTATAAAAAAAATTAATCACTTTCTGGCCATCGGATATTAGGCATGGACATATATATATATTGCGATCGTGATTTTCAAAAGTATTAAATCGCTTTGCAACGTTTATTATTACCATTTCATGAGTCTCCCCATTCAGTTGAATAAAGCGATTGGACCAGGAAGCCGCTTTGCGTGATGTCACACTTAACAAGCGGATACTTGTTTACTGGTATTAATATGAGGTTAAAACAGTTTAAAGAGTGAGAGTGTAGTCCAAAAACCCTGTTTACTAGCTTTTTGGGTCATATTTTGTTCATTTATATATCATTAACTAGATTGCCATTCCCAGATTAGGCCACATTTATGTTTTTTTATTTTTAATTAAAGATATAGTTAACCCAAAACATGCTATTTGGTGAGTTATAAAAGTCAAAACAGTTAAAAAAAAAAAACTTAACCCAGACTTGCGTTCTGTGAATGAACGTCGCCTCATGGTTCCATCCCAAAGAGGGAAGAAATCACTTTCCCGAACTCTCGCATTCAATCTGCCCAGTTGGTGGAATGAACTCCCTAACTGCATCAGAACAGCAGAGTCACTCGCTGTATTCAAG